CCTTGAGCTGATGAGCTGAGGGACAGCGCCCAGGCCCAGAGTTCAGGCCCCACGACCGGACCCAAAAAAAAAATAAAAATAAATAAAAAGAATGAATAATACTGATTAAAAAAAAAAAGGAACATCTGTGCTCAGTGAAGCAAATACAAAGATCCTGAGGCAGGAATGGTGTAGTAGAATTGAGTCTAATGTGCTTTTGGCTTGGTTAAAAAAAGACAAAGATAGATGGTTGGTTAAACAAGGTGAGTGAGTGAGTGTGTGTGTGTGTGTGTGTGCACGCGTGTGTGTGTGTGCGTGAGTGCTGGTACTGGGGCCTGAAGTCAGGATCTTGCACTGTTGTTTGACATTTTCACTAAAAGTTAATCCTCTACCACTCCAGCCATACATCTACTTCTAGCTTTCTGCTGATGTATTGAAAATGAATGTATGTCAGATTGGTCTACCTGGTTTCAAACCATGCTTCTCAGTAATTAGCCACCTGGGTAGTTAAAATTAGAAGTGTGAGCCAATAGCATCCAGCTCCTTTTGTTTTTCTGACTTTTAATATTGTAATTTTGGCCTATCCATGATTGGCTGACCTTTCTAATGTGCTCCCTTTTTATCTTGCCAATCCTGCAGCTACCTCAGCAGAAGGAACTTCAGAAGTCCAAGAAAGACAGGAACAGGAAAACAGCCACCAATGGCTTCAGCAATCTTGGCCAATGTAAAGGAGGAGGTGACCTGCCCCATCTGTCTGGAGCTCATGATTGAACCCATGAGCATAGACTGTGGACACAGCTTCTGCCAAGCCTGTATCACATCAAGCTATAAATCCACTATAGGTCCAAGAGGGGAGGGCAAATGTCCTTTGTGTCAAACCCCTTACATGTTTGAGAGCCTCCGGCATAATCAACATATGGCCAACATAGTCCAGAGTCTCAGGGGGGTCAAGTTGAACTCACAGGAGCAGACTGTGCATCATTGTGCACAGCATGGTGAGAAACTCCAGCTCTTCTGTAAGGATGATGGGAAGGTGATTTGCTGGCTTTGTGAGCGATCTCAGCAGCACCGTGGTCACAACACATACCTCTTGGAGGAGGTTGCCCAGGAGTACCAGGTAAGAATCAGGGATGAAGGAAGATGGAGCACAGAATAGTCCCTAAGGGAAATCTCTACAGGGGAGTGGGGGAGGGGAGGGTATTCATTGTGGGTATTCATCCCAGGACTGAGAAATGTGACTCCTTTCCACTCTGTGGGGACTTTCTCAGGCCTAAAGGACATGTCTGTGCAATCCACTGACTTACACGAAAATGAGCCTAAGTATAAACTCTTGATAGCAGCAAATCTTTCTCTACTATATCCTGCATAGATTGAGATTTAGACCTAAATTCCTTTTAGTGGAGCAGCAAATGAGATTAAGAAGTAGATTATTTTTCCCTGACGTAGGACCAGAATCCTCTTCTGTTACAAAAATAATCCATTGATCCAGGTGCTGGTAGCTCAGGCCTATAAAAGTAGCTGCTCAGGAGGCTGAGATGTGAGAATCACCATTCCAAGCCAGACTAAGCAAAAATGTCCACAAAACTCTTAACTCCATTGAATTTGCAAAAAGCTGGAAGTGGAAGTGTGGTGTTTGTGGTTAGAGGATCAGCTCTGAGCAGGGAGGTCAGGGGAAAGCTAAGCCGAACAAGAAGCCCTGAGTTCAAATTCCTATCCTGGCACAAAACAAAACAACAAGAATCAGTCTTGCTGGAGGTGTAACCTAGGAATTACCACCATAGGAAGATTGAAATAAGAAGATTCAGAGTTTTAGGCAAGCCTGGGCTACAAAGAGAGTTTGAGGCCAACTGTGGACTACTTATTGAGACTGGCTCAAAACAAGCAAACAGAAAGAATCATTCAGTTGTTGAGGATTGTTACTTTATTACCTGAGACAGACTTAAAGAAGACTTTTGCCACCTCAGATTTTCTTCCAACTGCTAGAAGTTAATTACAGTTCTCATCCTTTCTGTAAACTCGACTCTCTTCCTGATTTCTTCCATGCTATCCCTTATGCAGAGGCTGAGAAAAGTTCAGACAGTGACTCTGCTGTGATTCCTTCCTTATTCACAGAACAAGCTCCAGGCAGCTCTGGACAAGCTAAGGAAGAACAAGGAAGAATCTGAGAAGTGGAAAGCTGAACTCCAAGAAGAGAAAACTTCCTGGAAGGCAGGAAAAGACACTTCCTGAGGGAGTTAGCCAAAAAAATCTGGGTGGGACTTTGGGGAGGAGCTCCCTTCCTCTCTATTTCCTACAGTTGATAAGGGGCCAAAGTCACTTGGTTAGTCTTCTTTTTCCTTTCCCATGTGGGGGAGGGGCTGGAGAGTGAGGAGATCACAGAGGAGCCCAACTTTCTGGGAGGAGCCATTGCTGTGATGCTGGTGAGGAAAGGTATTTGGCAATGGATCTTACTTCTGTCCTCAGTGTTTGAGGAATTCAGAAATGGGATGAGGAGTGACACAGATAATCATGAGTCTTGGACACATGATTACTGTGTAAATAAGTCACACCCAGTCATCTAGTTTTGTCTCAGGCTAAGGTTTGATCATGCTTGCTGACTTAAGGTCCTTGGTTTTAAATGTGGTGAAGGGAAAACATGCTCACTAAGAATTACTCTTCATTCCCCAAGCAGTCTCCCGCCCCCCCGATACCCTGAATGGCTCTCTTTTTCTATTTTAAAGACTCAGATACAGGGCAAGATACAAAATGTCCAGGCAGATTTTACACAATGGAAAGGTAGCCTGGACTCTGAGGAGGAGAAAGTACTGCAAAAGCTGAAAAGGGAGGAGGAAGATGGTTTGCAAGCCCTGGCAGTGTCAGAAAATGAACTGACCCAGCAGAGCAAGCTTGTGACTGAGCTCATCTCAGATGTGGAGCATCAGTTAGAAGGGTCCACAATGGAGATGCTGCAGGTAAGTCTTTGAATAGTTCCCTGTATCTAGATTCAGAAAATCTTCCCTTCTCTTTTCTTTTGGCTGTGGGGTTTGTGTGTGCACCCCACGCACATTTGCGCACGCACACACATGTGTGTTTAGGTTTGAATTCAGTGCTTTGTGCTTTTTTTCCCCTCAAAGTTAGTACTCTACTACTTGAGCCACCATGTGACTTCTGGCTTTTCTTGTTGTTGCTGTTTATGTGGTACTGAGGAATCTAACCCAGGGCTTCATGAATGCTAGGCAAACACTCTACCATTAAGTCACATTGGCAGCCTGCCTTGTGCTTTCTAGGCTGGCTCTTTACCATCAGAGCTGTGTCTTTGTGGCTGAATTTTTATTTCATTGATTTTTGTATTTTTTAGATTGATTTCATGATGTCTGCCCTAATCTTTATTATATCATTGCATTTGCTCATGGTGTTTTTTTATTTTTGTTTTTGTTTTTTGTCAGTAGTGGGGCTGAACTCTGGGCCTGGACGCTGTCCCTCAACTCTTCAGGTCAGGCTAGTACTCTACCACTTGAGCCACACCATCACTTCTGACTTTTTCTGCTTATGTGGTGCTGAGGAATTGAGCCTAGGGCTTCATGCATGCAAGGCGAGCACTCTTCCACTGAGCCACCTTCCCAGCCCTCATGGTGTGTTTTTTTTGTTTTTTTTATTTTTGTCAGTTGTGGATCTTGGACTTTGGGCCTGGGTGCTGTCCCTGAGCTCTTCAGCTCAGGACTATCATTCTACCACTTGAGCCACAGAGCCACTTCCAGCTTTTTTCTGTTTATGTAGTACTCAGGAATTGAACCCAGGGCCTCATGCATTCAAGGCAAGCACTCTACCACTGAGCCACCTTCCCAGCCCCATGGTGTTGTTTTTAAAATGGACTTCTGATTTATTTCAGATAAAACATGTAAGATCAGAATTCTTTAAAAAAATTTTGAGAGTCTGGTGATTTGTGTGTGTGCGTGTGCGTGTGCGTGTGTGTGTGTGTGTGTGTGTGTGTGTGTGTGTATGTGTACGCCAGTCCTGGGGCTTGAACTCAGGGTCTGGGTACTGTCCTTGAGTTAACTTTGAACTGCAATCTACCCTATCACTTGAGTCAGCTCCATTTCTGGCATTTTGGTGGTTAATTGGAAGTAAGATGTTCATGGATTTTCCTGCTTGGGCTAACTTTGAACTGCAGGCCACAGATTTCAGCCTCTTGAGTGGCTAGGATTATATGAGCCACCAGCACCCTATTTTGTCAAGTTGTTATTAGGAGAGTGATATTTTCTGCATGTTTTATGAATAAAGTCAGTGAAGACCAATGTGATTGGGAAAAGGGCATAGACCCAAGCCTGATGACAAGTTTGAGCTTCAAAATTTGATTATGACCCAACAGTCCTTTTCACCATTTACTGTAGTTTTGTTATGTTAAGTGTAGTACAAAATTCAAATACAAAAAACAGAACTCTTGGGCTGGGAAGGTGGCTCAGTGGTAGAGTGCTTGCCTTGCATGCTCAAGGCCCTGGGTTCGATTCCTCAGCACCACATAAGCAAAAAGAAAAA